GTATAGACATAGCAAAAATCCAGGAAGCAACATGATAATTCAGAAATAATTACTTAAGGATCTGACTTTGCCCACTTGTTTGCTATCAGGCCCTTTGTCCTGATGTCTTCTTCACTTCTCTAATCTGAATATCTCTTAACATTCAGTTCATAAAATCGACACCATAGTTCTGGTTAAGCTGACATTAAAGGTTATCCTCAGGTGCTTCCTCATCACTGAAGATATAATAATAGATAAAAGACAAATTTAAAAAGACATGGCCCTGCTATAAAATCAAATAAGTATACTTGACAACCAGAAAATAAAACAGAGAGCAAGGCTGAAGCCATCAGCCCTCTCTGGCTCCATAAGTAGAAGTGGGTAGGAGCAGTGGAGAATTTGACTCGAGTGGCACTATAAGAATAAAATCTTCTCCCCTTTCACAAAACATGAAGAAATGGAGACAGGTTTACTGTGTTAAAAGCAGAGCATGATAAAGGACCTCTGCTTATACAAATAAAAAAAAAAAAAAAAGCTGAAAAATGTTTCTGCCAACCACTGACGGGCATCATTCCTCAAACACACCTGCTTTCTACTGTAGAACGTGCAGTCTGGCACAACTGCCACCCAGCCACTGGGTCAGCTATAACTGCGGGGCCACCACGGAGAAGGAAGTGAGCCATACACTTTAGGTGCAGTTCTCAACTGGGAGCCCTGGGGGGCTGTGTAGGAACAACCACAAAACCCCAAGAAGGTAAAAAGTGAATGGGGAGAGATAGGAAGAGAGAGAATCTTCCCTCAAAGGCTAGCAAGACAAAATTCAGAATATATAAAGTACAATAGAACTAAAGAAGTTGTCAATAAAATCATTAACTAAGTAGATGAATTCCCTCTAGATAAAATAAAAATGACATAGCAATCAGACAATAAAAGATTTGTATGATTCTATTCAAAGTCTTCTAAATGATTAGTGAATAAATAACATTCATATAAACAGAACTGTTGGGCGGACGTGGTGGCTCACGCCTGTAATCCTAGCACTCTGGGAGGCCCAGGTGGGAGGATTGCTTGAGGCCAGGAGTTCAAAACGAGCCTGAGCAAGAGCAAGACCCCATCTCTGCCAAAAGTAGAAAAAGTTAGCCAGGTGTGGTGGCATGTGCCTGCTACTCAGGAGGCTGAGACAGGAGGATCCCTTGAGTCCAGGAGTTTGAGGTTGCTGTGAGCTATGATGATTCCACTGCACTCTATGCACTGTACCTGGGGTGATAGAGCAAGACTCTGTCTCAAAAAAATACAAATAAAATAACTTATGAAATTGAAATGTTCAGAAATGAATATTGAACCTGTGTACTATCCCTACAATTTAGCGTATCTCTGCTATATGTAGAAGTCAGAGAAACTGAAATAAATTTAGCAAAAATATTAAAATCATTAAACTCTATATTGGAAGACTTATGTGCTATTTTTTTTATATAACAATGAGTTATACTGTTAAAATTCTTTGAAATGTTTATAGCAATTTCAGATCCTTTATAAAATTATGGATATTATCCATAGGGCAGATATTATCTCCGCTTTATTGAAGCCATACTAAGTCAGAGAATTTTAATCAATGGTCACAAAGCTAGTGACAGAGTATCACTCGAAGTTAGGCCTTCCGATTGCAAACGCCCTTTAATGTGTTTCCAAAGGCAATTCATTTAATTTTTTTGCAATCTTAATTTCCACACTTGAAATTTATTAGGATGTTGGAAAAATGAAATATCACACGTAAAACACCAGATGGCCTCTCAATAAATGTTACTATCCTTTCTTTTTCTCCTTCCAGTAACTTTTTGCTTTTCTTCATGTTCATTTGACTTTTGTTTCTGAATAAATTGAAAACTCTATGCAGCTGGAAACAAGTTTAAGTTTAATATTTCTTTACTCACCCTATCCATCATTACCAGATACCTAGTTCCACTATCTATAATAAAAATAGCTTGGTTCCTCAGAGTTAGCATGTAAAGTAGGTAAGGAAGGTATTTATTTTGGCTTTTTTTTTTTTTCAGTTAAAAAAATATGAAGCTCAGAGTTATAAGATTCACCCAAGTTCATATTATTACGAGGAAATTGAGCTGTAATTTTATATTTGGTTTTCTGGTTCTACATTCAAAATGTCCCTATTAATGTGAGGTTTTCAATTATCTACCTACCTATCTATTTTCATTTATTAATTATTGCTTTCAGAACTTCTTATTAAAACAAAATAATTGGTGGAAGCTCAGTGTGTAAAATAAATGCCAGTAAATCTGCTGTGGCTGTGAGGGTTTAGAGGGGGGTTGTGAAGACAAGGCCAGCACCCCAGAGTTTCTGACTGATTATGTCTAGAGTGGGGCCCAAGCGTTTGTATTTTTATAAGCTCCTGGCAGATGTGATGCTGCTGGTCTGGAGACCATACTCAGAGCCATCACTGTTCTAGATTCTTGCTACTCATTGTGTGGCTTGCAAACAGGAACATCAGCCTCACTTGGGAATTTATTAGAAATTCAAATCTCAGACTCCACTGCAGATCCACTGAATCAGAATTTGTGTTGTGCTAAGATTTGTATAAATAGAAATGAGAAGTTTGGGTTTGATACTCTAGGTCTCAATCCCAGGTGCATATTAGCATAATCTGGGGAGATACCAAAAAATACATGCTTGAGTCTCTCCCCAGAAGATATTCATTTATTAAACACTCTGCTCTAGGGTGTGTCTAGGCACTGGTATTTTTAAAAATGCTTCCGCTTCCCAGGTGATTCAAAAGTGCAGACACGATTGTGTCCTTCAAGTCAAGACTGTATCATGTCCTGCACTTGTCTTCAATCAAGAAACATTTGACAACTTGATAGAAAAGCAAATTCCCAGGTACCTCTTATAAAAGTGTTTGGTAGGTTAAAGAGGGACCAAGCATATATAATTTTAACAAGAGTTTTAAGCAATTTATATTATCAGATAAATTTGAAAAATATATTCCACAAATATTCCACAAATATCCCTAAAAAGTTAACTGTATTTTGGCAACATTTTTTTCCTATAGTACCATTTTAAAAGTGCCTCAGCTGACATAGCATTTCATAATTTCACTCAATAGTTTTGAGGCTAAAATATGTTTATATGTGTGTATGTGTGTGTGTGTGCGCGCGCGCGCGCGTGTGTGTGTGTGTGTGTGTGTGTGTTTGTGTAGAGAGAGAGAGAGAGAGATAAGAAGAAAGAGAGATCTTCATGTATAGGCATTATTTTAATGGAATAGTACAATTAAGTTTGAAAGTTGTGAAATCTCTATTCTAGTCCTGGCACTATCTTTAATTACATATATCAATGTTGAATATTCAATTAACATCCTTAGATGTCAATTTCCTCATTCATACATAGAAAAGAGCGCACTGACTATGGCTCTGAAAAGTGTTATCGTAAAGTGAAGGTGATGACAAGTGCAGCAGCCATCAGAAGGTGAACTATTAATGTCAACCTAAAAACACCTGATTTTAACATCTGGTGCTTTCTGACATAGCTTTTCCACCATATCTTGTCTTTATTGATATGGTTAACTGTCAAATTCCCAAAAGGCCTCCATTAATTTGTTCAAGCAAAAAATGAAACTGTTAGGAGAGAAAACCACCTTGACCAATTATCAATAATATCTCAAATTGCGAACTGGTCTTTGCAGGGTGAGAGGGCTGGGATGAGTGATTTCAAGACAAGTCTTGAAAGGTGTCAGAACTGGTGGAGGGTGAGTGGGCAAAGGGTATGACCTCATAACTTTGGATTAATGCAAGCAGTGGAGTGAAGCAAGGGTATTGAAGGTGAATCTTGATGAGAAAACTATTAATTTTGATAAGCTGTTTAATTGGTTCACAGGAGTAGGAATTTCCTGGAACAAGTAGCTGCAGTATTTTTGCCTGTTCCAGCATTGTTTAGCACAAAAGCAGGAAAATATGCTTCTTCCTAGGGTTGGTTAGCATAACAGAAAGTTTTTTAATTTTCTTTCTTTGTACCTAATGAAAATATTAATATGTTTGTAGTGTTTTTATATTGCTGCAATTATATCTGTGTATTTCAAAATATTTTGTATTGAATCTTAGCCTCTTTCTTCATTAGCATGTTTTATTTGGGCCAGCTCATCTCTTCTCTCACACCTTGTACTTCTCTAGCTAGATAACTCCCAAACTGGGTCCTATGCCTCCAGCACTCAGGGGATAATCACCAGATTCCTCCCCTATGGGTCTCAGTATTATGGTTATCATAGGTCATTTACAAAAGACAATGTTAAATCTCAACAACAGTCCACCCATTCAACCCACCCATTCAAGGTGGGTAACAATGATTTGACACTCCCACTAAATAGACAGGGGAGCTCACCCCCTCAGGAATCTATGGATCTGATCTCAGGAATCCTTTGTTTATGATCCTTTGTACAGAGGAAAGAGGCTGCTCACTGGGAAGTTGCCTGGTATGGCAGGAGGTTTATTCTGGAAAATAAAAACTCAGAAGTATTTAAAGTAAGACAACTGCTGGGATAGAAAATGGAAACTGAGCATGTCAGCAAGCACCCAAGTTGAGAAAAGGGTGAGAGTAGTACGGTGAAGAGACAGAACTAGGCATTGGGAAGAGAAGAGGAACGGGGAATTAACGTAAGTTAAGCAAAAGCTATGATTCTAGAAATAGGATGAGTCCTTTACGTTCTAACCTCATTCAATTCTCCAACAACTCTGTGAGATACATATCATTATCTTCATCTTATATAAGCAGAAGGAACCTGAGATCAAAGGAAATAACAGACTTGTCCCAAGTCAGCAGTAGTATAGGACTCATTAGTCTGCTGGCATAAGCCCAGTGCTACTCTTTCTTTCTTGGTGTGTTGTCTCCCTGTGCAACAAGATCTGAGTGCTTGTTCCAAAACTTGTGGTATGGTAAATTCAGTGCACCACTCCTCATTTCAGCGAAACAAGAGTATTCAACTAGATTTAACATTTATCTCAGAGAAAGCTGAAACTGTATCTGTAAAAACACTTATTTATTCTTGGAAACAACCTCATGCTACACATGTTCACATGGAGGGTGGTGTCGTGATAGTTCTGTGAGGATTCCATCATATAAGTTACAGCAGTTATGGTACCTGTGACCACAGGTGTCTCCGATGACCTCCTTCCATGAAGGCCATGCAATCACCAGCTCATACAGCCCTGCTGGAGGAATCCTACATCGAGGGATGCTTGACCCAGATGCAGCAATGCTCCCTGACCCAGCCCAAGGCTGCTGCTGGCTACTGGAGAAGTTGGCCGGGGAACTTCTGCATTTAAACCACTGGTCCAGCTCTCCAGGCATGCTCCAGTTGCTGGTGTCTAGGAAGGAGATGCAGGGCGAATAGCCTGTATATATCACATCCAGGAGCTCTTCTCCACCCAGAGCTGTGAGGAATGGGCCCTGCAAAGGGTAATGTCCATGCCACTGCTGTTGCCACTGCTGCTGCTGCCAGTGCCACTGCCACTGTTGTGGGACAGAGGTGAGCTGCCCACACTTCCCAAGCTTCCATGGATAGCTGCAGAGGAAGATTGAGGCACCTTGGACGAGTGTGTTGAATGTCAAACAAAGACCAAGATCTTGCAGGAGAAAACAGAGGCTCTGAGGGATAAGACAGAGGCCCTAGAAAGCTGCAGGGCCACCCGGCCTGTCCCTTCTCTCTCCCCATCTGCTGCTGAGATGACAGACTCCCAGTCCCTGGTCACATCCTACACTTTTCAGGTCCCAGTTCCTCTTACCACTCCTGACTTGGCTGACTTGGCTGCTGGACTTCTGATCCTGCCTGTCCTTCCACCTTCCTCCACACCAAAAATTGATGAAAGGACATTCACAAGCCCTAGCTCTCCTCTGGCTGTTCCTGCCAACCTTCTTTCTCCATTTAGGGCCAGGTCAACTGCGAGGGTTCCACCTAAGGAGAATGGAGCCCCTGCTCACTCAGTCCCAGCAGCAGTGCCTCCTGTTTCTGACCTGCCCAATCCTCCCAGCACCCTACCATTCTCATTGATGCTGCCCTTGATCAGAACTGTGTCACCAACACCCATGTGTGTAGATTCCCCACATCCCCTTTCCTTCAAGAACCCTCCTTCTTCTTCCTTCCTAGCCCTCCAACTTCATTCCCAACCCTTCCCACACTTTCTTTCTCCACCCATCCTCCAGTTCCTTCTGCCAGGACCCCCGCCATTATCACGGGCAGGTTTGCCCATTCTACAGCAGCCATGTCTACCATCACAGCCAACACATTGGCCCGCTTGACCTGGACCACTTTAGACCCTCAGGTCATTGAAATGGACATGACTCCCCCTTCTATGGCTCTTATTTTCAGCTATATCCCAACCTGTAGTGTGAGCTCTCCTCCCTTTTCCCAAATCCCTGTACTGTGGAACAGAGGTGCCCTTATGAGGCCAGAGTCCCCCATCAGCCCATCTACACTTATGGTCTGTTGCCTCACCTCTAATTTGAACCATCACATGGGCCTAGAAACCGCCCACATGTGGGACCCCTGATGGGCAGCAGCAGAGAACCCCCTTCTCCAGGACACCTTATTTATGAGCCTTCCCAACATAGCTCCTCCCATTGCCTCCACTCTAGTGGGCAGGGCCTCTGCAGTACCATGCAGAGGCCCTGCCTGCCTTTGACACCGATGCTATGGATTCCACCCCTCCTTCCAAGGCTGTCACCATCCGGTCTCCTACTGTCTCCAGGAAGAACAACATCCCTTTTTACATGGGGACTCTTGGGAACACACCACTGAGTAGCAGCATTGCCTCAGCGCAAGTCTCCAAGGGCATGGGCATGCCTGGACAATCCAGTTAGAGGACCAACTGTAACATCCAACCATCATTTTAATCCAGGAGCCACTTCTCAGGTCCCTGATGGACAGCAAAAGTCTTGTCAATCTCTCATGTGTGGAAGGAAGCAATGCAAGAACAACATTATAGGCTTGGCCTTTCCTATAGCCCAGCCACCCAGTGCCAAACTAATGCCATCAGTTTTGCTGATTGGCCTATCAACACCCAGCCAACAACCTGGGTGATGTCCCCTTCACATAGCCAAGATATCTTGCTTGAAGTTGCCACCAGGATGCCCAGTGTTGGCCAGCACCACTCCAGGCCAACTGGTGTTGATGAGACCTGCAACTCCTGTGCATGGTGGGAGCTTTGTGCTTCAAGTGTCTGCCCCAGGTCCCCTGCTAGGTACACGTTCTCGTTTTCCCCCAACACCTTTTACTCAGTGGACCTTTATCTTTCCCACACGATGTCCATAAATACTTCTTCTGCTAATCTGCCTTTGCTCATGTGTCTTTGCTCTTTGAGTCAACTGTGGAGGAAGAATCCACATGTATGAGGAGTGACAGGTTGAGACAGAATTTACACAATATTTTCTGACTCCCAGTGAATAGGATGTGGAAGTAGCTACGCTTCTTGACCTCACAGGCTGAATCCTGACGTCCCTTTGTGAAGCTTGGGTGTCAGGGATGACAACCCTGGAGGAAGTGAGGCCCTGGTGAGGGGGAGGTTGGGTGGCCCACCCTCGTCTCTTCCCTCTATTGTTCTCTCCAAACATCCTGACCTCTGTGGAGGCTACCTCCTCCCTGGTGTGCATTAGGAAACACACTTTCTGATTTTAGTTTTAAAAAACGTATGTCTTCTTGCTGTGTGCCTGTGTCTTTAGTTGAGACGAAAGCCAGTCATGCTCACACATTCCCACTTCACCCACAGGGGCTGGGCTTGGCATCCAGCTTCTTGCATCTAGAGGAACAAAGAAAGAGCGAGCTGATATCTGTTCTGTAATTATTGAAAATTTAAATGTACTTAGAATTTATCAGGCTGCTTAAAAATATCAGAAAAGATTATCTTTGATAGCTGGTCTGATTCCAGTGTAAACCACTGGGATATCAAATCACAACAGGTACAATTACACGCAGTTCTGGCTGACCTGTGGGTTGTACTCAGTCTCTACTAGATTTCACTGCAGAAAATTCTATGTTTTCTAAAGTTATTTCGCAATCCAGGAAAACCATCTGAAAATGGGGAAAAGAGAAAATTGCAGCATTTCCCTCAGTTTCTAATTCATTTCATTAAACATGTTTTCAGTGACGACTCTCCACTAGATTCTATGCTAGGCCCTATAGATGCATAGTTGAAAGACATCTCTTGCCCCAGAAAAATTTACAATGTAGAAGAAAAGACTGGTGACCAGACCAAAAATTCAACTGAATGGGTAAGCACTGAGACATAGGGAGCAGATAAGAACATAAACTACTTCTGGGGGAAATGAAACATGAACTGCACCTTCAGGAAGGAGAAGGGAACAGTCAAGTGGAGAAGGACCGTTTCCAAATCAAAGCCATAGCACTCTCAAAGTGAGGGAAGGCAGATGACCAGCTAGTGGGACACCAGACAATGGTCCTGGTGTGACTGAGGAGTGAAACCAAAGCTAAGAGATGCAATTGTAGGGTTTAACAAGGGAGGGCAGAACATGGACAAAGAAATACCATGATGAGGCATTTTTCATTTTCCTGAAGGTATGGGAAGTCAAAAAAGTATTATAAAGTATTTTAAACAAAAAAGTGAAAATATTTTATGTAGATTTTAGAAACATTCCTATGACTATGTGAGATGGAAGAACTAAATGTTGACAGAGCAGAGTGAATGAGGTGTTTTGATAATGCAGAGACGGAAGCAAAGAGAAAACAATGAGCCCCTGGTTGAAAGGAGTGGATGATGCAGATGACGAGGGGGCGAGAGGGAAATGAAATGGGGGACCCCAAGGTACCCTTATATATTCCAGCTGTCTTGGTTGGATAAGTGCACATGAGTGATTTGGGCAAAAATACAAGTTCTACTTTAAATAGCACGAGATGCCTTTATAAGATGCAGTTACCAGTTGGAAGGCAGTTCATTCACTCTTGTATCAATTTAACATATTTCTTGAGCATCTGGGATATGCTATGGCCTATTGTAAGTAGTAGCATCAAATAGAAGAAAGACAAAATTCCTGACTTTGTGGACCCTACATCTAGTGAAAGGGAGAAAAGAAACTAAAATAAATAAATAAACAACAACGACAACAACAAAAAAACTTGGGAAATATCTGGTAGGTTAGGTAGTAACAAATTCTATGCAGAATCAAGGAATCCATGAGGATTAATATTGTGGAAAGTGAGAAGGATCAGTTTCAATTTAAACTGTGGACAAGACAAGCCTCACCAGAAAGGAAAAATTTGAATGAATGAAATCTAGAGAGAGGCAATTGAGTCAAGTCTCTGAGGGAAGAACATCTCAGATAACAGGAATAATCACTGCAAACTCTTCAAAAAAGGATGCCTACAGTCTTCAGCAGTTAGTAAGTGAATGAGGCTAGAATCAATTCATCAGGGTGGGAAGGAGAGAATGAGGAGAGGAAGACAGATGAGGGTTGAATTCCTTGCACCACTATATATGGGTTGTAGAACTGCAAACAGTTGGCACAACCTTTAAGAGTCTCAGTGGACTTAGTGCCTTTAGTAGGGCCTGTTTATATCGTAAGATTTTTGAGAGGTTAAAAGAAAATAATATAGGAAAGTGACTTATAATACATTCTTGTTATTGTTCTATACATAGGAATGGATGGATAGATACATAGATAGAAAAAAAATCATTCAACAAGGGAGGGCAGAACCACTTGAAGATGATATCTGCAATACCATGTTTATTGTTTCACTATTCATAATAGCCAGGGTTTGGAATCAACCTAAGTGTCCATTAATGGATGAATGGATAAAGCCATTGTGGTACATATACACAATGGAATGCTATATAACCACGGTAAAGAATGAAATCCTGCCATTTACAATGATATGGATGGAACTGGAGAATATTATGTTAAGTGGATTAAGCCAAGCACAGAATGACAAATCTCACATGTTCTCACTCATATGTGGGAGCTAAATATTTAAAACAAATGATCTCATAGAGACAGCAGAGGAGAATGCTGGTCTACCAGAGACTGGGATGGGTAGCAGGGAGAGGGAGATAAAGTAGGAATGATTAGTTGGTGCAACAATTGAGTCAGACAGACAGAATGAACAATATTTGATAGCATAACAAAGTGATTATAATCAACAATAAGTTAGGGTATACTTTTAAAATAACTAAGAGTATAACTGGAAAGTTTCTAACACAAAGAAATTATTATTATCTAAGGAGATGGATACTTTAATTTTCCTGATTTGATTAAATCACATTATTTAACTATAAATCATTTCTGCTCATGGAGAGGTTAGAAAGGGTTTATACTATTTCTCTTCTTTCCAAATATAATTTACGTGTAAGAAAACTTTTTGTGTCCTTACAACCCCAAACTGTTGGGGATGATAAAGTCCAAATTTGCTCTGACGTGCTGTATAAGGAATCTTATGAACAGAGGGCTGCAACCAGTTTTGTGATATATTCATTATGCCTAATGTTTTTTTTTAAACAGACATTTTTAAAATTAAAAAAAAAATGTGTAAAAGCATTTTTACTGATTTCTGATTCTTGCTTCTGAAACTTCTGTACTTCATATGTTTGAAACACATCATCAGCTCCATGAGTTAGAAATATACTCCAATGAAATAAGCCAAAGAAATAAGACTAAAACTAGATAAAGCCACATATAGGATTTTCTAAATTTCTTGTCTTCTTGAAGCTTCCAGCTCCTAAGACAATACTGCATACTTCCTTTATCCTGATACCTGAAAGTATGTCTCCTGTCTTGGGCATAAAAAGATCCAGAGTTGCAGTTAAGTGACCATAATGTGTAGCACAGAGTGGACCCTGCTGGCATGTTCATATGTTTCAATTGTGTTGATCCTGTTTTAATCCAATACATTGCTCCACCAGTAACTTGTAAATAAATATATTTGCTTTCTAGATAAATTCCAGGAAGGCCAGAGAAACTGGCTTCTTTAGCTGTATGGAATAATTGAGGGAATGTCTTTCAGGATAGATCAAAATTGATCTAGAATATAATCTTTACAAATGTGGATACTTAAAACCAGACTAAAAGGAAAATCTGGGCTGCAAGGCTCCATGAGAAGAGAAATGTGGGATAATGCCATATCGATAGTTGGAGGATCTGCTCTACATTTTCTGAGGAGACTGGAGCCCAGAGTGGGCCATGATCAACTTAAGATGAATTAAAGTAATGACCTCCTCCTAGGTGTGCATGTATTAATACTTAGTATACATATGCCATGGTGCTAAGTACCCTATCAATTATAGAATAAAAGGATAATCCATGACATATACATCACCAGGAGCCCTGAGCTCTGGAATCATGCATGCAGCCTTGGTTCCAAGCCTGACTGGGCCACTCCCACCTGTGTGACCTGAAGAACTGCCTAAGGCAGGCGTAGGGAACATTTTCATGTTGGAAGGCCGCATAAATTTAGCTGTAATCGAACAAAGCCGCATTCAAGAAACTTTAATTAGATATACCTAAAAATGTATGTTATGTTGTAAAAACCTAACTACTATGTACTTAATCATTTCAAAATATGAAAACCATTTTTTAATTTTAAAGCTAACTAACCTTCTAATGACTTTGTTGTGTCTGCTTTTTGTTGGAAAGTATTTGAATATTTGGTTGCAGCATGGAAGTCCAAAGTTTCAGTTGATCCTCTAGATGGGTATTAGTCATTTGTGACCTTCAAGGCTTCTTGGTTAGGGTCAGGTAGGAGAACGTAGCTTCGCAGCAATAAATGGCTGAAAAGCAAGAAAGCATTTTTCAGTCATGTTGCTGAAGGCATGGGTATTCTACCGCATTTTTCCATATTTCAGTTGGATCTTTCTTAGCATCAGTGACTTTAAATTGCCATCTACTGACAGGTCAATCAATTCCATCTGTACTTCTTGTTGATATCAACTACATGAAACTGAAATGCTAATTTGAATGTGACGTCTTAATTCTCAAAGTTAGTGAACTTTTCATTGCAATCTCCAATTAATAGGTCTGTAATAGCTGCATGTTTTTCAAATGATTCACATATATCATCCTGCTCATCAGTGACCTTTGCTAACCGGGGAAAATGATCATCTGAAACTTCCTTTTGAAGAATAAGTGTTTTGAAAGAAGATATCTTTTTTTTTTTTTAAATGCTTGAATTTTTGGCCACATATCACACATAGACTTAATTTTACCTTGCAAAGAAATATTCAAGTCATTTTAATTTGACATAATGTCACACAGAAATGCTGCATTCCTAAAGAAATTTTCTTTTAATAATTCACATTGCTGATTCTGTTCTTCATAAAACTTAACTATCTGTTCTCAAAGAGATAACATTTTGGCTAACATGTGTCCCTGCAATAGCAAAGGCACTTTAGAATGAAACAGCAAATCCCCACCCTAAATACCTCATTGTTCAACTTTAGCATGTTACAAAACCAAGGATGCTGTGTTCCATTTGCAAGAATATAATTTAACAATACATGTTGCATTTGCACAAATATAGTTAACAATACTTGTAAGTTTTTGCAAAGTGTCACTTAAAATATAGGTGTAGCACAAATATTTTGCTTATGCAAGATACAATGAAAAAAAATGAGAGCATCTAGGTCTGTTAATACTTTTTTTTTAAATCTATGCAATAAACCCTTCATGTTTTCCTGTCATGGAAGGTACACCATCTGTACATACACTCACTAAATTTACCAAATTCAGTCCAACTTCATGACATTTAATTTGAAAGTCATTGAAGATATCTATTCTCCATGTTCCGTTTGCAAGTGTGCCCAAAGTGAGTAACTCTTTGTAGCGAGAAAAATCTTCTGTAATGACCCGAATGAAGTATAAAACCTGTGCCAAGTCAGTAGTATCAGTTGATTCACCCAAAGCAATTGAATGATATATATTTTCTTTCTAAAATATTGTATGAAGTTGTTCTATTCAGTTGAAAGCTAATTCGTGCTGAGCCAGCCTCAGTGGCTCATGCCTGTAATCATAGCACTCTGGGAGGCCGAAGTGGGAGGATGGCTCAAGGTCTGAAGTTTGAGACTAGCCTTAGCAAGAGTGAGACCCCATCTCTACTAAAAACAGAAAGAAATTAGCTGGACAACTAAAAATATATAGAAAAAATTAGCTGGGCATAGTGGCACATGCCTGTAGTCCCAGCTACTTGGAAGGCTGAGGCAGAAGGATTGCTTAAGCCCAGGTGTTTGAGGTTGCTGTGAGCTAGGCTGACACCACAGCACTCTAGCCCTGGCAAGAGAGTGAGACTCTATCACAAAAAAAAAAAAAAAAAAAAAATTCATGCTGCCAATCAGTTATGGTTATCTTTGAAAAAGGCAGTTGTTTGTACTTTGAAACATTATCAGTGTCTAAGCAACCTATAACTTCAACAATGCATTATTTCACAATTACTACATCACTGAATGGCCTCCTTTTTCCCCCTGAGTATATAAGCCACTTTATAAGTTGCTTCAGTGACATTATTTCCAGGTCTTCTTGCTGCTTGAAAGAATTGTCTTAGCTTTTGCTTTTCATCTTTTAATTTTTGCACTACAACTTTTCATGCCTCTCCCTCTAATTTAAAATGTTTGTGGTCCTTGTGAATGTTATAATGCCCATGAGCACTGAATTTCTTTAAGTTGATATTGCAGTATCACCAAACAAGCAAATCATCTCTTTAGCAGAAACAAGATAATATTGAAATTCTCGATGCTCATTAAAAAGTATGTTTTCTTCCTTCAGCATTCTCTTGGTTTTCTTTGACATTATGGGCTGTTAAGCAAACAGAATTTAAAAATACTGTCGAGCTGTGCAACTATTCTCAAATTACACTTCAAACAGAAACTGCACCACTGTCAAAAGCTGATAATAGACTGGTGCACTCACCCCCCACAAACTCTCGCCAACCAGCCTCATGTTGTCGGGCCAGTGGGGCGGGGGAAGTTAGAACTAAATTATGAGCATAATAGCTGTCAATTTAGCCCTTATGGCTTACTAATGTTCTAATTGTGCTGGTTCATTAGGGAGGATTATTTATTTCGTTGAAATTTATTTTATTCGTTGGTATTTTAAATATGTTCATTTTAAGTGAAGTATCCCAAGAATGGAAAAACAAGCACCACATATACTCACCAGCAAACTGGTATTAACTGAGTAGCACCTAAGTGGGGGGAGGGGGTATAACATACATAATGAGTGAGATGCCACCATCTGGGGGATGTCATGCTGGAGACTCAGACTTGGGGGGAAGGGCCATTTATTGAAACCTTAAAATCTGTACCCCCATAATATGCCAAAATAAAGAAATAAATAAATAAACATATAAAATACAAACAAAAATGTTCCTCTTTTATAAACATAAAAAGATTTGTTTTGTAAAATTTGGATTCCATCAAAAGGCTGCACTTAAGGACCTAGAAGGCTAATTTAGTGTTCTAAGGCTTAACTGCCAAATTTGTAAGAAGTGAAGATAACCTGCCTGCCAGAAGGGGACGTCATGGACGCAGCATCCAGTCTGGTCAGGACACTGCATTCCCTCCTCGCTGACCCTTGCAGCTGGGCTGGTGACCCTGAGCTGGGCTGGTGACCCTGAGCTGGGCTGGTGACCATGGTGGCCGTGGCTGCGCAGAGGCACTGGAGGGGTCCCCGGAGAAGCCTGGCGGGAGGGAGCGGGGTTGCCTGGACGCTGGGCCTTGAGCCGGCCCTGCCCCTGCCCCTGCCCTGGGAACAGGGCAGCAGCCACGGGGCACCCCTGCCAGGCGCTGGACCAGGCTGCGCGGAGTCTGCGGAGCCGGCGCCCAGGCAGGGAGGGCTCTGGCTGACCCGGCCCCCACAGGCCCCAACTGTCCCCACACGGTGGCGCGTCTCGTGCCAAACGCCTGCCACCAGAAGCAGGAACTTGCCCTTTGCCCTTTGGCGCCTTTTCTCAGCGCCCTTCGCTGGGCTTCGCACACACCCCCCCTCCCCCGCGCGCCCTTTCTCTGTCACCAGTTCCATCCCGCTGCCCCATGCCAGCTGGGTCTCCAGAGCAGGCGGACAGGAAGGAGAAGTCTCTCTCCGTTTTGTCACCTCTTCTCCGCCTCGTAGGGCGCATAACTTGTTCTAAATGAGCTATCTTATTCCCAAGCTGCCCAAAACGGCAGCTTCCACGCCAGCCTCCTGCCAGGTCCTCAGGCTCTCCAGCTCCAATCGGGATCGCCTGCCTCCATCAGGTGGCTTTTACATCGCCCGGAAGAGGCAGGATGCTCTCTGGCAGGCTGTGTGCTCCCCTCTGGGGATCCTTCCCCTTCTCCCCTAGGGGGAGACCCTGAAGCAGTAGCCCGCGTTGCCTGCTGGCAGTTCTGTGATAGTAGGACACTCGAGGTCCATCAACATCCCTCCTATGGGACGCAAGGTCACTCTTCTGCATTTACCATCTGTGCAGGCAGTCAGGGCTCCCAAGCTAATACCATCCAGTCACTCGCCCCTTCCTTGCCAGAAGGAGAACGAGGTGAAGGCCCAGGAAGAAGCCAGGAAGGTGATGGCACAGGAGGAGGTGCAAGCGGACCTCCTAGAGACCCCAGGGCAAGAGGACAGGAAAAGGGGCCCTCCTAGCAATGGAGAAGTGCCATCAACAGCAAAGCCTCTGGAAACCCTGGGAGGACTCACCTCCTGGGAGTGCAGTCCTGGGCCTTCCCTGCAGGGACATCTCCATCCCAACCTCTTCAAGAACAACTGGAGGTGAGGAAGGCCAGATATCTCCAATGACCTCCTTCTCTGAAGGTCATACAGTCACCAGCTCACACAGCCCTGCGAAAGGAATTCTGCATCTCGGATTGCCTGACCCGTATGCAGCAGTGCTCCCCGACCCAGCCCACAGCTGCTCCCAGATACTTCTTGCATCCCTGGGATAAATCCCACTTGATCATAGTGAATGATCATATTTATGTGCTGTTGCATTCAGTTTACAAGTATTTTGTTGAAGATTTTTGCATCTATGTTCATCAGAGTTATTGTCCTATAATTTTCTTTTCTTGTTAGTATACATCTGGCTTTGGCATCAAGGTACTGCTGGCCTCATAAAATGAGATTTTAAGTATTCACTGCTCTTCAATATCTTTAAAAAGAAGTCTGGCCACTCTCATCTACCACATTTATAGACATTCTCATAAATCACCTATAAAAATGCTTAACTGTTACTTAATATAAAATCCTGGTGAACTCTCCAAGTACAATCATTTGTAAATCAAAGATCTAGGTCAGCAAATTAGCTCACCTACTATAGAGAATTGTTGGGTACGAGACAATTAAATCTTGAGAATATTTGTCAAATAACATGACATATAACAGGGGCTCAAGAATAATTTTTATTGAAAGCATAAATAAATGAAATAATGACTCATGTTTTTAAAAGCAAGGTCAGTCATACACTAAGCATACAGATGTATATGATATCCCATACATATTTGCTTTTTATTGACTGTATTAATATGTAAATAAATATTGTTTTATTTAACCTCATGGTTGGTTATGCATGAATCAATCTCACATGAATTTGTGGTACTTGTGACAGTTTCCTGTCCCTCCGACCATACCTTGCCATGCCTTATTGTGGGTGACTGTGCTGTCCTGCTTCCTTGACCCTAGACTCAGCTTTTTAAAAATCTGCTTTGGTCAATGGCTTTAAGGCAGAAGTAAGTGACAATGTGCCAGTTTTGACCCTACACCTTAAAAGCTTGTTTCTACTCTTTTTATACCTCTGATACTTATAAAAAAGACTAAGCAAACAAAAAGCCTAACTAATATATAGAGATTTGACCAGTTTGAGAAAAGCAACTCTTTTCCTTTTCTTTTAAATTTATATTTTACTGAAATTCTGTCCACATATTAAAAAAATCCCTGCATAAATATTGAAACTAGAATCCCATTAAAGAACTAATGGTACTTTTAGTAAGTTTTGTTTCCTATTGAAATTTCTTGTGAGGCTTTTAAAATGAATCTTATTATTTGACAAGCAAGATATTATTAAAAAATAATTTTAGATAATATATGAAAAATTAATGAATTTAATTCATTCTACATTTTTCATTCTAAAAATACCAAAGTCCTCTAATTATTCTATACTCTTGAAAAGGAAGAAATATATTAATTACTCTAATACAAAAGAATATTTTTCCATTGACCACTCTTATTAAAAAATAATTTGGAAGAGTAATGAAATTAGCATTCTATGAGAAAAATTCAATACAACACATTGCTCTTAATTATTTTACTTCATTACCTACTATAAACAATATACTGAGTAAGCATTATTACTTTTATTTTTAAATGAGAAAACTGAGACTCAGTGAGTTAAGAAATTTTCCCCAAATCATGCAGCTAGTAAATGCACAAGTGAGATTTGAAATTGGGTATGCATGACACAAGTTTTGTGCCCATTTAGCTGTACTACATCATAATGTCAGGAAATAAATTAGGTATAAAAGGACAATTAAATACTAAAATAATTTATAGCACACCAGAAAGTATACAACCTCCATCAAGAAGACTTTGGGAAGAAAAATGGGTTAAAAATAAAAAATTCTGGGAACTCTTAACCTGTGTTTAGAAGGATGGAAAGTGAATAAGGCATTAACATTTTAGGTCTACCAGAGGAAAAAAAAGACTCCAGTCCAAAAAGTTTATGTTAACAGGGCACATGTTCTCCATCCCCAGATGATGACAAGGATAAATTTTAAGCTCTTCTGCCATGTCCCATGGTGTAGAAACAAGAGGATTTTAGATGATGCAAAGATGTAGCCTTAAATAACAATGAGCTTCCTAACTGGAGAAGTTATGCCCTTACACAATTTTCTGAAATGTAATACACAGAAGAAAAATGGAAAAATTTTAGGAGTACAACTCACTGAATATTCACAAAGTGAATATTCCACTGTGATCATCAACCTAGTCAAGAGTAAGAACATCAGCACCACCTGACACAGTCTGTGTCCCAGTCTGTGTCCCCTCCCAATCTTCAACTATTCTTCCATTTCAATATTAACTACTGAGCTGACTTCTAAATTCACAAATTAACGTTCCATGTTTTTGAGATCCATGTAGATTAAATCATGTAGTATTTATGTGAGTCTAGTTCCTTCACACCACATTATGTTGGTGATTATGAACACAGCAGTGTAGAGCACTTCAATTATCTTCTGGCCCAGCTTCCAGGACTTTTGCCTGAGAGCAAAAGTATCGGTGAAGAATAATGAAATGTAAAAAAAAAACTGTTTCACAAAAAAAAAAAATTGGCACAAAATCTTCTGCAGGGAGGACTGACTGAATCAGCGATGTTGAAGGAAGTATACTTACTGCAAACATCTGTACATTTGATGCTAGGAATGTAGAGCTTTGCTCCAGAAATGGGTGAGACCAGAAGCAGCTGTGGTGGTACATTGGCAGACAATAGCAGTGGCATCAACTTTGGAGATATTAACTCCATAACTGGTGCTTTAGGTGTGGCAGCTACAGGAGGGACCATCACAGTGAGCCAGAGCCAGAGATGGGGAAAAGAGAGTACACCATGAGTTGGCAAGATGGCTGGCCCATGAAGCGTGTCTTAGTCTGATTGTATTTCTATAAAGGAATATCTGAAGCTGGATAATTATTTTTATTTATTTTTATTTTAGCATATTACAGGGGTACAAATATTTAAGTTATATATATTGCCTTTGCTATACCTGAGTCAGAGCTGCAAGCATGTCCATCCCCGAGATGGTGCACACCACACCCGTCAGGTGGGAATATATCCATCCTCTGCTCCACTCTCACCTGCCTGACACCCGATGAATGTTACTTCCATATGTGCACATAAGTGTCGATCAGTTAATACCAAATTGATGGTGAGTACATGTGGTGCTTGTTTTTCCATTCTTGTGATACTTCACTTAGGAGAATGGGCTCCAGCTCTATCCAGGATAATACAAGAGGTGCTAGAACACCATTGCTTTTTGTGGCTGAGTAGCACTTCATGGTTTACATACATCACATTTTATTAATCCATATTATTAAACTTGGGTTGTTTCCACATCTTTGCAATTGTGAATTGTGATGAATGTAAACATTTGAGTGCAGATGCCTTTTGTAAAGAATGTCTTTTGTTCCTTTGGGTGGACACCCAGTAACGGGTTTGCTGGATCAAATGGTAGCTCCACTTATAGCTCTTTCAGGTATCTCCATATTACTTTCCACAGAGGTTGCCAGATGTGGAGAAATAAGAGCACTCATACACTGATGGTGGGACTGCAAACTAGCACAACTTCTGTGTCATATTTTCTTGAGGCTGATCCTGTAGCTATAAAAAATAAGATTATTTAGGGACAATCTAGAAGCTCTTTGATTCCCTGTGTCTTAATATAAAATTTTTAAAGCCTAAAATTGTCATTTTTTTTTTTTGTAAGTGTCCCAATGCATTCAGTTGTAGCCATCCCACTCCACAGATCTTAATGGTCATTATTACCAAAATAATGGTCAAATGTGGCAGCCACTTCATTACAATTAACCATATTTCTGATTTAGATTAATTTGTTTAATTATGATGCTACTGCATTTCATGGATTAGTACCATCCCCTCACCTGATAAAACTGTAGAATGGCCTAAGAAAGACTTAGTCACAATGTTGTGGAAAAACAAAAAGAATGGAAGCCCATCTCAAAAAAAAAAATCAGTATGTTAAGTGTGAATCAAAAACCAATATATAGCATTTATTCTCCTAGAGCCAGAACAGATAGGTCAAGGAATCAAATGGTGAATGTAGAAGTGCATCCTTTTTACTATTATACCATCCAATTTATGGATTGTTTCCTGTTCCCAGACCATTAAGCTCTGTTGACTTGGAGGCATTGGTTCTCAAGGAAGGAAGGCTATCAGCAAGGGACACAACAATTCCAATGAACGAGAAATTGAGATGGCCACTTGGCTGTTTCACCACATCATGACACAATATAGACAAAGTGGGCTGGGGTGACTGATCCAGATTTCTGATTCACAGCGGGGCAGGAACTCAGTTGATTCTCTGAGATACCACTTAATGCTTTCATATCCTATTGTAAAAATGAATTATAAACTACAGTAATAACAACAAAAGGCAAAATTACTATGAATCATTCACTTCAGGAATGAAGATTTACATCTCCTTATGAAGAAAATACCCTAACCATCTGAAATACTGAGGTAAAAAAAACCACATGAAATGGGATTAGTGAACAAAATACATTATAAACATCAACAATGGCTCCATGACCAATTACAGAAACAGAAACTACAGAAGTGATGCATGTATTTGTGTGTATTAAACCATTCCTTCTTCTCTTTCTCCTTACCGTTAATGTTTTATATAAAAATTATGGTTATTGTTAACATAAAATTTAGTTTTTAAGTAGTGAAATATTCATATGGGACTGTGGCTAACTTCCAGGAATGAATACAAATGTCGGGACTTTGTACCTTCTCATTTTAGGGAGAGGTTTACAGCAGCTTTGTTTATAAGAAAGAAGTTGTATCTTGTTAGAAACAGAAAGTCATTTTGTGTTGTCATATAGGAGTTCACATATGTATAGAAAAGTCTGCATGGATGTCAAGTATCCCTTCAGCTGAAGAGGTGGCATGCCCGTGTTAACTTGCTTCAAACTCACCTTTCTATCCTTGGCTTTGTGATGCTGGGGGTGAGACCTTGTAAACTTCATTTCTGCTCTGTCTTCTGGGATCTGCTAGACTTTGTCACTAAGGGCTTTTAAGGCTGACTGAAAGGCTTAAGGAGGGAGAAAAAGGTCGCACAAGCTCCCTATTCCCATCAGTCTCACTACAATGATCATTTTTCACTCTGCCACTGGGTAGCAGCACTGAGTTCCTATATACAGTTTTCTCTATACTTTATCCAGTCTCATAATGCCTTAGCAATCCCAGCACTTGCCAGCTTGCACCGCTTCTCCAGGGTCTGGACCACGGTTTCGGCAGGGCCCTTTTTCCAAGATCCAAACCTCCATGGTTGCTTCCTGTAGTTA